CCCCACATATCCCCCTGCCACCCCTCACCCACCCACACCCAAAACCAGTGTGTCTCTTTTGGAGGACCAACTCCCTGCTGGCTCCAGGCATGGTCTCGAACCGTGCCTTGCTGTGCTCTATTGCGAAGTGGGTTTTTTAGACACCAGGGGTCTAATTTTCTCCCCGCGCTGCAAGTTTGCAGTGTGGGGAACATTTTTTTATTCCTGCACGTGCCTCTTGCCCCGCCTCAAAGGGGTTTGAGGCGGGGCAAGAGGCACATGCACACTCATCTAGATGCGCCCCATGGGTGGAGCTATGATTTTGAAAAGAGCTAAATTGTCTCCAAGGCTGTGAAATAGGTGGAGAGATACCAGGAGGAGCTAGCAGGCAGCAAAATCACGCTAGCAAAGGTTAGCTTGATTAATGGGACATTGAGATCATTAAAAAGAAGAGACAATCTTCAATACCTCTGGAGTGAAGAACAATGAGCTACCTGAATAGTCATGCAGCAGGTGATGCATTGTGGAGCAGGAATCAGAGCAGGATGCTTCTATCCCATTCAGAAAATCAGCGTCCCTGCTTAATACAGGCACTCCAATTTGGGGGGCTAGTTTTGGGGCAGACGGTGTGTATTGTATACAGGAAAATATGGTATTAAAATGCATTAACTACATTCAAAATTACAGGGCATTCAGATGCTACATTAATGCAAGCCATAAATATCTCAGAAGAAAAAAAAGTCTGAGAAGCAGTGTGAGCGCAAGAGACTGAGAATCGCAAATCCTTTGTAAATCACAAATCTGTGCCTCAGTTTACCTACCTGTAAACTGGTTATCATAATATATTCCTGCTTCAGAGAGGAGACTTTAGGTTTCATTATTATTTGTAAAGGACTGTGAAATTCTGAGCTGGACAATTGATTTTTTTTTGTGAATCATTAGTAATATGCTAGCTTTGCAATTTCATTATAATTGACAAATTCAATGAGGAATTAAAAAAAATAGCTTTCTGGGAGAAAGCGTTCCAGAGGAAGCATTGATAGCCAAAGGGGAAAGCTCTTTACCTGTGTGGCAGCATGCATTATAATGAAATTTTAAAAAAAAGAAGAGATCCTTTGGGCAGTGTAAATAGAAAGCTCTACTCTGGTGAAGACTGTAACTTTCCACTGTAAAGACCTTACATGGATGTCTTGGAGTTTTCCATCAGAGAACCAAGTGCATTAGGCCCTCTCTCCTGGCTGACAGGCTTTGTTGGCACTGTAAGAGGCAGGCATCCTCCAAAGATTTTAAGAGAGATGGTTGCAGTAGCACCCCTAGGAACAGGGAACCTCAAGTGCTCTGTACAAGGGGCAGCACCTGGCCTCAGAACTGGAGGGAGCTAAAGGACATTATTAATGTGATTTTTTTTTTTTTTGCAAAAATCTAGCTGGTCTATTAAAAGGTATCACCTCTACTGTGAGTCCTGATTATTGATGTGAATGCAGTCAGTAACATGGACCACCAGAGTGAAGAGGTGACACAAAGTGAGAAATGAAGCCATAGCTACAACCAGCAGACTGGACAAAAATGAAAGGTAGTGCGTGTACTTTGTTCCCATGTTGGGATGGTTGTGGCTTACAGCACTGGTAGCAGTTTTATGATTCATGTGAACACTTTTCATAGATTTCATTTTTTAGCATACATGTATTACAACACATTTTGTAATAGTAATAAAGCCTCAGTAATTAGAGACTTCTCTGCTCTTCGGTATTTACTGAGATGATGAACGAGGCTGCGAGGTGGTAGGTTGGGAAATCAGTGGCAGGGGGGTTACACAGATAAGGTACCATTAGGAAGATGTTAATATAGCAACTATTCACATAAAAAAGCAGCCTCGCTTTGTGGCCCTTAAACTCTGATTCCCAGCTCATTTGAGGATATTTTCCTCCTTTCTCACAAATCTGTTCGTTAAATTGGGCACCTAGAAATCAAGAGACCTGGGCCTGTTCTTGGCTCTGCCCAAGTTGCTGTATGAGCCTGGACACATCACTTAATCTTCCTGTGCCTCAGTTTCCCCTTCTGTGAAATAGATATACTAATACCAGCTGTTGCTGAGCCAGAGGGTTGGCTGTAAGATGCTTCATGTGAATGAAGTTTTGTTGCTAATCTGTTATTTAGTAGAAGGTGCCTTGCTATTAGGCACCAGTAGCTCCCCCAAATGCCCCTTTAATGGGAATTGTTCAGAGTAGCCTTGCTTGTATTTTTAAGTTACATTCTGTAAAACGCACAAACTTGTAGAGAAGAGGTTTGGTGGAGCAGAAGAGGTTATATGCATCAGCCTGGGATTTCTTTTTTTTTTTTCTCTTAAAGGAAGCATTTTTCATCAGTATGCTGTGGACAGCATTGGAAATAAAACAGTGTCCCCTACCGTTCATAGCGTGTCATTATGTTTTCACGTCAAGGTTTTAATTAAAGCATATTTAAAAAATAAAGCACACAATGACAGATTATAACCTCCAATGTTTATACAGATATTTTGGGTTTTTAAAAAACAAAACACACAACTGGTTTTATAGGACCTCTCTGGAAAGAGGAAAGCCAAGTCTTCTTTCCCTCTCCTCCCTCTTATGGAAAGAAGCAGTCTAACGAGACACTATTTTTACAAGACATTAAATACTTGCCATATTGTTGGGTTAATGAGGGGCTAGGCATGTTTCGACAGCTTTTTTTGCTGTAAGATGAGTGGCAGCATGCTCTGTTTTCCAATATAGAAAAATGTAGCAGGGAAGAGACAGGTGTTCATAGACTTGCTCCGTTGAAAACCCAGCTTAAAATCATTCTTTTTGATTCGTGACCAGAGGAAAGCGAAGAGAAAGATGAAAAACCGCAGAGGTGCTAGAGTCGCTCCGTTCTGTTAAAAGATAGCTGAAGCAAACCATTCAAATCTCTTTGAATAAGCCCTCGCCATGTCAGCCTGTGTTTCTGCCTTTCTCATCACAGGTTTATTTTACCATACATTTCATGGGAAACAAGAAGACACAGAACAGAAGTACGCAATAGGAGGTCATACCAGCAGAAATTAAAAGAAAGAAAGTTCTAATTTCAGAAACGTAACCACCCAGAGAAACAATGGTCCTACGGAGAAACCTGCATTTGTTCAATGTAATAAAGATAGTTACAGTTTCACCATCATGCTGCCTGCCAAAATTTCTCACGCTGACCCAAAGGGAACAGTCCAGTATCTTATGGAGAAATGCTTTTGACCTGCACATGCCACCCCCCTCACTGAAGCATCCAAGTGAAACACAGATACATGGACCTGACTCCAATTTCCATCAAGGTTCACTTCACACCAGTGCCAGGTGGTTTTAAATTGGATTAACATGCTATTTTATCCAATTGTGAGTCCCTTTACCTTGCTAGAGCAATCTACAGGGACTTTTGTACAGTGGAGAATTAGGCCCTAAAGAACGTACTCTCCTAACATGCCTATGAATCAAAAAGTGTTTAATTTTACCATTTTAGATTGGGCAACCAATGTAAAGGGATTTTTCATAGGTGGGAACCTATGAACACTTATGCTTAACTTTATGTACCCGAGGAATGTTTTTGGGAGCAGTTGTGTCTGTGGGATCTGGACCTTATTTCCATGAAAAAATAAAATAAAATGAATCCAGCTCCTAGTATGAGGAATGCACTACTTGCACATAAATATTCAGCTGAACTAACGAATCTGTTTGGTTTTCTGGGTAATTACTTGCACTTCTCTAATATTTTCAGTCAAGTGCATTTTTCCATGCAGATAAATATAAGGTCAGATGATCCAGGGCTTTGTTATACCTGCTAACCAATAAGAGACCTCCTAGCAGGGGTTAATAACCATTCTTCAGCAGAAATCCTCCAGAAAATAATGTTAAAGCATCCTTCAAGTAACCTTGATCCAGCCACTAAATAAAGTAGTGGGGCTCTTAATGAGCACCTACCTGAAGGGAGTCCAGATGGGATGAATTAAATACCACAGCACAAGGCTGGCTGCCTGAACATGTATTTACTGATGGGATATTAGGAGACACAGCTGGACAGACATACCGCTCCCTTCTCTGGTGGGCAGTCTCAGATACAGGCCAGCATGACTAATAAAGACTTCAGCACTGGGGAAAAACAGTAATAGGAAGGGACCTTCCTAGCAGGTGAAATCACTCTAGTGCTATTAGAAAGACCATCTTCTCCAGAAAGGCATCAGTATTGTCTTTAAAAAAGAGGGCTGAGGTTACCTTGCTTCAGCCACAGGGCAAAGCAGTTGAGTCTTGTAGTCTTAAAAAGGGTTGGAAAAGCAAGTTGTCTTTTCTTGGAGGTCCTGGCTTGGATCCATTTTGAAATGCTCCCACAGTGTAGGGTCTGACGACTGGTAAGTGGCTTTCCCCCTTCTTGAGAGTGAATTGTATGTGGAGCAGGATGAAGTTTTGAGTGTAACTGGAGCCTCTCTTTAAAATAAGGACCCTGCTAAACAGGATGCTTAACCTCAGTTTTCAGTGAGTTGGGCTTGGGTAATTGCTTTCAAGAAAGCACAGTAAAGTGTGCTGGGTGGTGGTGGGAAGGAGGACTGGCTTCTAATCCCTATGCGATCACTTGAAATATCAATCTGGTTTTGGGAATTTGGATCCTATGAAGGCTAACTAACTGCTAATAGTTATCTAATACAAAGGTGGTGATTCTGAGACAAGGTGAGCATGAAATCATGACCTGGGTGGTTTGTGTTGTCCCAGACTTAAACAAGCAACGAAAAGCATATGATGCATCCCCTCCTAGGTGAATAACTCCTCTTCCCCCAACAAATAAGAATATAGCAAGACTGTAATCTTGCACCATTTTCCCCTCTCCTCTACTGACAAACTTGTTCTGCTGTGCATTAGGTAAGCACCTGGTGAGTCCTATTGAGTTTCTCTTGCATAACAATACTTGTTGGTTTGACATGAATGACCGTCTTGCTCTGCCAGGACTAAAATAACCCTAGTGCTGCAGAACTGCCCCATACAAGCAAGTCACTGCAGCTCTCCCAAGAGAAGCCCAGGAAGTAGGTTAGAGCAGCCCCAGGCACTTAACTTCACTAAGCAGCACTTGTTCTCTAAACCCCTCTACCTATTGCTGACTCCAGCTGTTCTGCATAGGTTACACAAATTGTGGTGATGTTCTTGAATGGTTGCTTTGGTATCTTGCTTGCCTGATTGAATATATGTTCTTTAGCAGTCTGAAAAAAATAAAACGTTAAGCACAAACACCCTATTTAATATGGAGATGGGGGATCTCTCTTGCTCTCCATCTCTCTCTCTCTGGCTATGGAAGGAAATGCTAGTTGTCCTGCAGTACTGGGTGTACCCGGTCTCCCTTCTCTGGGAGCTGAGCAGGCTCGCACTGATTGAGACTGTCCTTCATTTTAAATATCAGTGAGTAGTTAGCATCCACAAAACCCTGGATTCACAATGGAGACTGAGCCCATTCACTCCTTAGCAATGCCATGGTCAACTCGTCTATATGGGAGCAATATTTTTTTGCACCCCTTACTCTGCAAGATTTACTAGACTAGCTAGGTCTCCAAATACTCTTTCTCATTGGCATCTCTGTAGCAGTGATGCCAATTGTAATGGGTGGCACACAAGGTGCTATATGGGTATAATGGTGCTGTACAGTCCACAAGGGTTAAAGAAAGAAACACGTTCTACAGCAAGGTGGTAAAGCTGGGGTATTTGGGGTGATTGCCTTTTCCTCTCCCTTCCACCTTCTTTCATTTCAATCTGGTCTGAACATTTTTAGTCTCATTGCCAACAACACAAGAAAATCATCGCAGGGAAGTGAGTGTGAAACTTTAGACAGTTTCTTGCAATACTGCTGCTGTGATATTGGGAAGAGAAGATGCAAGCTGCCTCTTCAGATGGCCCAGGCTACAATGCTAATTAAGTACCAAATTGTATAGGTATAATTGGAAGAGGAGCTAATAGTTTCTAACTGGAAGCTTTCTTTGTTTTAAGTGGACATCAAGAAGAAACGGGGGTGCTTGGGTCTTCTCTATTTTGCAGCCTTCTGGCATGTTGAAATAGCTGCCTTTTAATTTAGAGAAATGCCGAAAGACTGAATCTTTTAACTTTTTGTTTAAAGGCCAGGGACATGACTGAGAATTAGATGAGAGCCTGAAGCTGGGGTGACTTAGCCAAACACATTGAACAGGCTTTGCCTTGTTTCCTCTGTCCTTGCAAAGCGCTTAGGGTTTCCTGTAACTTGACAGGAGGAGGGAGAAACTGCTGTTTTCTTCCCCGTGGACACCAGCCGGGACTCTGCAAAAGGGCAGGGGAAAGCAGCAGGGCTTAGAAAAGCTGGATCTCTGGTTTGGCTGCCATTCAGGAACATACTTGGCTTTGTCGAGGCCAGGAGCTTTCCAGAACTGGCGGCAGGGATGCAGAAATGCAGGCTGGCAGCTTGATCAGGGGCTGCCTGACATCCAGCGCTCGGCTCACTCCCCTCGGGGCTCCTTTTCTCTTTCAGTGCTGGAGCATGGAGGACATTTTACCAGCAGAGGACACTGAAGCTGAGCCAAGGAATTTGCCACTCTTCAAATCCAGCATGTGGTGTGAGGAGAGGAGATTGAGGACTTTCCAGCACTGGCCTGACAGCAATCCTGTCTCTGCCCCTGACCTAGCCAAGGCTGGGTTCTTCTTCCTGGGCCCTGGGGACAGAGTGCAGTGCTTCTGCTGTGGAGGGATCCTAAGAAGCTGGGAAGCTGGGGACGTCCCCATGCTCGAACACCTGAAGTTCTTCCCTTCCTGCAGGTTTGCCTGCGGCAAAGAGGTTGGGAACGAGCAGGCGTTATCTCTGCAGGAGCAGGAGATGCTCCCTATTCGGGACATCTTGGACTGTGTGGATGGGCAGATCTTCAGCCTCTTGCAGAGGCTGGACACGGAGGAGACTGCCCTACCCAGCCATCCAGAATACCCAGAGATGAGGATGGAGGAGATGCGACTAGCCACTTTCCATAACTGGCCACCCTATAATGAGATGTACCCGGAGCAGCTGGCTCGTGCAGGGTTTTTTTACACAGGTATGTTGAGGAAGGAAGACCTCCTTCTATGCGGGGCTATCTAGGTCTTTATACTGCACCTCATCCGGATGCTAAATGCAGGATTAGGCGATTTAAAACTCTCCACCAGAGGCAGAAGGTGACTATCGCCTGCTGGACATGAGATGCCAGCACGACCTGTTCAGAGCACTTTCCTGAATGGTATGTCGGGCTCTCGGAGAAACTGGAGCTGCTAACCATTTAGCACCTGAATTTGGCTGTTGAGGTTTTCACCCTTTGCATTTAATGCCTGTAAGTGTAGCATAGTTGCAAAAGCCTGAAACAAGTTAATGGATTTGTTCTATATTGCTTTCGTATCTGGGAGCCCCAGCTGCACAAATATGGTTTGCAGCCAAATCACGGTGCCAAATCTGTACCAAGCTGTGGTGGAAAGTCCCTGTCCTGAAGTATTTGCAGTTCATACTTCAATTGGCTGTAACAAGGCACCAGTAAGGGTAAAGGTGAGGGAGGCGTTATGTAGATGATGTGCATGTGTTGGATAGTACTGAGTTTTCAGTACTCTGAGGCCGTGGTTCAATGTCCCAGCCCCCAACCAATGCGTGTGTGGAAATGAGGTGGGGAGTGTTTTTTTGAGGAGAGCTGACCGTCCAAGGCCATTGCCTCTTCAGAAGCTGAGCTAGCTTCGTAATCATGGATAGAGAAGGCGAGTGCCCTGGAACAGCCTCCGACTCAGTGATTCAAAGGAACCTCCTGAGATTCAACAACTAAAGTTAAAATTTAGGAGTTTCCAAGACTATTCCTTGAATGGCACAAGCTAGACTTTGAAAGCAGCTCTGCACTTCAGTGCTATTCCTGCCTGTGTTTGAATGCTCCTAGATGCTTTGAGTGCATGGTGGGTTTCTTTCTTTCCAGGGGGCTACAGAAAAAGGTACTCTTGAAGGGCAAACATTACCCTTGGAGCAGGAGGGAGGGTGAGGAGGGGACTCCTGTTCAGGTCACTGATTGCTACTTATCCTTTTTTAATTCTTTATTTTCCTAACTGGTGCACACTGCACAGCTGCATGGTGCTAGTGGGGTCTCCTGGTCAGGCTGAGCTTCTCTCCATGCTTTGCACATGCACTGAATCTCTGTTCATCACTCCATTAAACTAAAAGCTATGGGTGCTTAAAGGAGTTATAGGGCAGACCAGAAACAAGGGTTTGTCCAAGAGGGGTCCTCAACCTTCTTGGATTCAAGGTACTCATTAGAAAATACCAGTTCTTGGCTTTCAGTCTTTGGACTATGGAAAACCAGTCCGGCAATTACTTGTGCTCTAAGGAACTTGGGTCGCAACAGGCCAGAAGATTTTTTGACACCGTGGATTCCTATTTGAAATCACTGGGTTTATCTTGTGAATTGTATGCAAGTGTTGCACACCTAACACTAACATGAGTGGCACACTTGAAAGGATCTCTTAGCTCTAAGACTTTCTTACTTAAGCTCTATACACAGTTTTATACATCCTCTTGCCCCTGCCCCAAATCCACTTCAGTGATTCTCAACCAAGGTGCCAGGGCACCAGATAATTTGAAGGATGCTGCAAGAAATGAAAAGGTCAGCAGGTAAACCAGGCTCATCCCTTTCTGGATGATTCCCCCACCCCTATTGCCCAGCCCCTGTGTAAGGAGGTTCTTGAAATTGGGTGCTACTCAACTAGCAACTTATGGAGAGGTGCCTCTAAAAAGGCTGAGAACCATTGATCTAGTTAAATCTGTGTTTTAAACCCCAAATTTGAGCACTGAGTGGTGCTGGTTTGTTACTGCTTGTATCCCTAAAGGCATTTGGATTGTTAATATGAAACTATAGGCACATTAGCCTTGTGCAAACAAACGTGGGATGTTCTTTATGTACGGCATGCACGTGAGCATGAATGTACTCTAACCCATTGTTTTCTTTGGAAAGGCTTTGTTGCATATGTTGCAGAGGATCGTTATTACGGCTGAGAAGTTGTCTGAAATGAAACCATCCCTGCGGTGTGTTCCTTGGCTGTAAAACCACCGAGCTCTTCTGTAATCCTAGATAGTGGAGCACACTTGAATGGCATTCATTAGAGAATGGCAAATGCCAGTCTGCCCAATAACTGAGGCCCAAAGCCAGTTAGCAATAGAGATAAGAATAGCACTGAAGTCCTGGTGCTCTTGCACTAAATTATTTGACAATAGATTGCAAGTGTCCTGTGCTCTGTTAAGTATGGTGTGCAGAGGAAACTAAGTGGGAAAAGGCATCCTTGTCCTACAAAGCTGGTGCTGGTTGAGCTGTATTGCTGCTCACCCCTGTGGCCTGTACATTTGTGGGGCTATCTATATAGCTGGCCTTGCATTCATGAGATGTGTTAGTTTTGAAAGGGCTAGCTGGGTCCCCTGCACACTTGCTCTTCTATTTTCACCTGTGCAAGGTCTTCATAGATTTCATTGACATTAGGGCTGGAAGGCATCTTGAAGATCATCAAGTCCAGCCCTCTGCCCCAGGGGCAGGAAGTCAGCTGGGGTCTTGGCCAAATGAGAAATGGATCTTGCTGTAAACCCAACAAATAATGCAAATTGCACACATGTATACAAGTCTGGTTATGTATGCATACAAACAGGTCCCAGGTCAATCATGACATGCAAAGCCCTTCTCTGCTTTTGTCTCCTTTTGTTGGTCTCTCTTTAAATCAGCCACGTCCAGAAAACAGAACAGACTAGAAGGCAGTGGCTGTAGTTTGAAACCTTTTGTGTATTTTTTTTTTTCCCATTGGGATTTATTATCCACCTGCTGAGCACCTGTTGAAAAGTCTGAGTGCCGGTCTTTCAGCAGGGGACCGATCAGGATGCAATCCAACAATGTGGCAAGCCCACAGGTCACTTGACCAGAGATGCTCCGGAATAGCCCAGCCTAGCTGGTCCAAACATTTCCCTTACTCGGCGGCATCTGAATGCTCAGTGATTCTGGATGCAACTGCTCAATGGAGATTGCTTTAGTTTCCTTTAAAGGGCCAAACTTGGGGGTGAAAAATCCTACAGAGTCCCAGGAATTTGTCTAGAATAGACACCTCTGCTGAAAAGGAGGGTGGACCTTTATCTAGAAGTGTCTACTGTATTGGGCATGTTGATCATGCGCTATTCTGTCTCCGAATGCTTCGGGGTGACAACCCTCCTTGCTAAGGAAGCCAGAACAGGGTACAGTATCATGCACTGGGATTTAGTTGTGCTCAACAGTTGAGCATCTGACTGTTTCCACAAGCAGAGAGGTGTGTGCTTTGTGTAGTACAACTTCATAAGAAGTGTTGCACAGGTAGAATTTGAACGTAGAACTGTGGAAAGAGCGAGTGTGAACACACGTGCTTCCCACAACCCAACATGCAGTCAAGACTTTGGGGAAACTCCCATCCAGGTGGCTCATTAATGGAACAGCTGCAGTTGATCAACCTAGTCAGACCCAATGTTTATGAACCCTAATTTTTAATTTGACATCCTGCTTTTGGACAAAGAGAAGTCCTAATCTTCATGACCCAGAACTGTTGAACTGTTCCAGTGCAGGTGCTTTGCCACTTGTCCTGTTGGCTAGTTATGGTGAGAGAGTGATGTATTGTGCGTCCCCCACTTCTGCCAGTAGCCACATCCTTGCCCCTGGGTTTGTGTGAGTAATTGCTTGTGTATTTACTACTTAACATCTGGTCTCCTCTCTTTCAGGTCACGGTGACACTGTAAAATGTTTTTACTGTGATGGTACCATGAGGGACTGGATGCTTGGAGATGACCCCTGGAAGGAACATGCTAAATGGTTTCCAAGGTAATTCAGGGTATCCTAATAGTTGTTTGTGGCAGGACTAGTATAATGAAGCCTTAACTGACTATGGCCTTGTGGGAGCACCTACAATGAATTCTGCATAAAGGGATAACGAGGGCTGCATCAGTGTCGGTGCAACCTGTTACGTTGGGATGGCAGCTCTTAAAAGCATGCAGATTCTTGCTTTGAGCACAAGCAGCTTGGCCTCCATCTCCTGAAAGCACAAAGGGAAAGTCGGCGTGCAGACTGCGGTCTGTGTGCGCCCGCACCCGTTTGCATGTGTTCAGTTCCTTGGAGTGGGGTGAGGGATTTTTTTCCTCTAGTCCAACAGTCATCTTTCCTATGTGTACTGTTGTGTTTGTAAAGGAATATCCCAATCAAATGATCTGCCTACAAGCTGAAATCCTCCAGCCATCGAAACATTTTGAACTGCTACTTGTGCCGTTGTCTTCAGAAGAGCTCCATCTCCCTTGGGCACTTACACAATGCCAAGGTAGCTGCAGATTTCAACAACGGTTCATGGATATTAAGACTGAAACCACCAGACTCCCTTTATATAGCCTTATATCCTAATGACAGCTTTCTGTTCACCATTGTTTCTGGCTGGATTGAAACTGGATCCTATATTTAACTGGCAATAGCACCAAGCAGAGATTCTGCATGCTTCACCTGGGACACGAGGCTCTTCTAGAGCAAAGTCCTAGTGGATGTAGACCCCGTCGAGTGACACGGCTCTCAAATGTCATGTCTGTTGACTTAAACTAGTTAAGCCTGAGCAGCGAACAGACCTGAACCCCTGTTGAGTGGACAGATGGCAAAGTCTGGCTTCCTCTCTGAAAAATAAAACTATTAGTTTTAGTTTTAACCTTAACACTGCCCTTGAGTCGTCCCTGGAAGTGGAGCAGCCCTTGGATTCTTTTGGTCTTGTGCAAACGGAAAGATATAGCGTAGTGGTTTTGTGTTACAGGAGCCATGGGACTGTGCTTATTTGTCTTTCCCTGAGCCAATCTTGGGCCAAAAGGCTCTACAACTGAGGCTGTTAGGGAAATGTGAGCTGACGCTTGCTGTTGTGGGAGGATCAGGAATCTTGGACCACCGCTGTTCTTCCTGCTAGAACTGGAAGGCTTTGTAAAGCAGATGGAGGAACCTCCCACTCCCGTGAAATGTTCCTCTTAGCTGTGTATGCAAAAACATCCCCCATCAATGTGCATGGATCACTGCATCCAGAAGCTTAGCTGGATCCCAGACAAGTTCTGCTGCCAGTTGAGCGTGGGGGTGGCAGTGCCAGGTTGAATTTATTTGCTGCCTTCTCCTTAGGTGCGAGTTTCTGCTGCAGTCAAAGGGGAGAGCATTTGTTACCAGGGTTCAGGAGACTTCTTTCAACCCACAAGAACCTCTGGTGAGTGTAACATTTTTCTTTTTAAATGCAATGAATGGGATGAATGCAGAAGAGACTTGTTTTTTCTGACTCCATCTTGTAATGTTTTCAGGGAGACTCATGGTCTCGGGATGAACAAGAACCCTCTGCCATCCAAGGTGGGTTGTATGCAAGTCCTGGCTCTTTTGTCTGACTGCTCTGGCTTCTGTGTAGTACTCTGGAGATGGCATGCTGAATCCCTTTCAGAGAGGCTTGCATTTTGATGCGAGAAGCAACTTCCAGAAGCAAAGGTGATTTCTACTGAGACTGCATACACCAGTCTTGCAGATCAAAGTCTTGGCTAGCTCAGGTAGACATCCAGGATCCTGGGTGCCCAACTGCATTTCTCGAGGTTCCTCAATGGTTAGTGATGTTGCCTGTGTCATTGGTAGATCTAACTTTCAAAAGATCTCCGGAGGCATCTGGAGCTACAGCCAATCTGAGAATGTAGAGTAGAAATTTCGAATTCAGATGATCCTGGAAATGTCACAATTTTTTTTGGGAACTAGTCCCACAGAGATTGGATCCTGAACATAAGTAAGAGGAAAGATGCTGCACTTTCAGGTTGCATTGGCTTTTTATGGCAGTCTGAACAGAGTTTGGACTAGAACGGACTTGCCTCTTGTTAGAAACTGCTCTCTGCTTCAGTGGTATTTGCTAATTCTGTGCATTTGCACCAAGAGAACTGGACTTCAAAACAGGTCCATCTTTGCACCATGCTTGATCACAGCAGAGGGGAAAACTGAGGATGAAGTTCTCTATATGCATGTTGAAAGCCCATCCTTGGTAAACAAGGAGTTGTGGGCCAATTTGCTAATGCACTGTTAACCTTTGCAGAATAAAGACTTTCCAACTTGGTGACTCTGGAGCAGGTTGAGGAAGAAACTATGGCTTTAAACCTATTTGGTGGTACTCTATAGTATTTGGGATTCGACGACGGCTGGTAGTCAGTCTAGCTTGCTTTTACAAATGCCTGAGATGCTGAAGGAAGAAATTCTTGAAGTACATTAAGCTGCCATCAGTGATGGACACTTATTTATCTGTATTCATGCCTCATGGCTGGTGGCTTTTTAAGGATTTGGTTGGGTGGGGAGTAGATCATGACCAGCATAGAGATTTTTAAGACCCGGGTAGACAAAGCCTTGATTGGGATGATGTAGTTGGGGCTGGTCCTGCTTTGAGCAGGGCGTTGGACTAGATGTGACCTCCTGTGCTTCCTTCAACTCTACTTTCTATGACTTAAGTGAATGCCCTGGGCTGTGGACCCAGGGTTATGAAGAGAGACATAAGCTCAGCCTCAGCTTCTAGGGTAGATTACTTGGGACACTGCTTACTGTGAATGTTGACCCTCTTTGTGATGGGAGTATTGTGTGTGCTTGCAACTAGATTTACTTGTGCTTGGAGGTGAGGGCAGAGGGGCTAACCTTGCCACCAGTGAAGCCAAAATGCCTGCACGTTGGTCTGAACACCAACAGTAGGTCTCTGAAGCATCAGAATTGCTGTTGGATCATGTTTCTAGTATCATCTCTGACCCTGGCCAGGTGAGGAATGACTTGGTATGAACTGCCCTTGCAGTCTAACCCTATCAGACTAGTTGGTTCTCACTCTGAATCACAAAGGTTAACGCTCTGTCTAGTGGGACTCTTGATTGAAAGCCGTGTCTCTTGGGGAAGGGGGTACCAGGTCTTCATTACCTCAACTCCACCAAAGCCTGCTGCAAAACTCTTGAAATCAGCAGGGTCCAGGTTGCACCTCTGACTCCAAACAGCTTGTTCCTGCACTGCTAGCTGGGAGGGGAAATGAACCACTGAATATAGAGATCAAAAAACTCTGCCCATAGCTATTAAAATGACTTGTCTATTGTTGTGATATCTGGTAGGACTCGTTTGATACCACGTTCTTGGGATCGAAAGTATTAGCTGATACACTGCATGAAGTTGGGCCACTTGAGAGATGGAAAATGTTAGCCAAATGTTCAATTTATTATATAACACTTTGGAATAGTCTTTAGGCAAGTTAATGCACTCGGACATATCCTTGCCATGTCCTTCAGTGGTGGGAGCTGGCCCACTTCCTGGTGAAGTATCTCCTCGCTGTGCTTTGCAGATCCTATGGGGAATCGGGAATTGCCATCTCCTCTGGATCAGTCTTCCGTAGTGCAGAATGTCCTGCAGATGGGCTTTGACCCCAGCTTGGTGATTAGCTTGGCCCAGAGTAAATACCTGCTGACTGGAACTTGCTACTTATCTGAGTCTGAGCTGGTTTCGGATCTGCTTCAAACAAATGGGGAGGAGAGCAGCAGTGCAGAAGGAAGCAGAGGTAGGAGTGACCCACCCATCCCTTGGCGGCAGGTATCTTTGATTGCTGAAAAGTAACACCGTGCACCTGCTCTCAGACTCACTGGAGCACTTGGGGAGCTTTCTCTTGGGTCTTTTCCTAGAATGAAATTTAGGGAATGCGCCTCCACCATATCCCGGTGATATCGAGGAATGAGTTTGTTGTTGCCCAACAGTCTCCAGTTACTGGAATATCTGAAGTTGGCCATTTCCCAAAATAGAGCTGCTTTTCTTGGCCTGACAGCTGTGAATTTAGCCCCCCACAAACTGATGGTAAGGGTACAAGGGTGGTTTAGTCCCCGACAGACTGATGCTAAGGGTACAAAATATTCAGAAATGGATTCCTTGGGCCGGACGATCCAGGAAGGTCGTACAAGCCCTGTGTGGCTGCTGGATATAAAATGGAGATGATGGTAGAAAGTGTGCTACTAACTTCTCATGGGCTGTAAAACCATGAGGATACAGGCAATTGTTAAAGAGCAGACTCCTGGGATGGGTACCCCTAATGTGAGAATGAGGTGATTTCTATATGGGAAAGAAGAGTGCAACTGCACTGTGTATATAGTGGGTGTTTTGGGGTGTTTTTGGTGTTTTTTTTTTTTACATTTCTATCCTTTAATGTGCTACAAGCAGCTGCCAATCTTATCAATGGTCCAAAGGGGACATTTGTGTTTGGAGAATACAACACGTGCATGTTCTGTTACTACTCTCCTAAAGCTTATGTTTGCTAAACGCGGTGAGCTGGGTTTTAACTTGTGGCTAACCAACATGTGGTGACACCTGTCTGAGCACCCCTGGCTTGGTGGAGGGTGCAATGTCACTGGCTTTCATCTACCAGCTGTGTATGTTTGACCTGGAGGGTACTTGAACACCAAGGGACCACTTCCTTTTTAAGCCAAGTATTTCTCACCATGGGAACATTGCCCTGTTTGTTGCTTCTAGTTTATGCAGACCCTGCTCCAAGGGACAGCGGTACATCGGGACTGAAGGAGGAAGCCCAAGCTGAGTGCTCCGACGAACCAGGTGAGATGAAGAGGAAAATGTATAGAGCTTCCTGGCCCTGCCCAGACAATAGCAGGGGGTCTCTCTACCCAGGGCTCCTCACCTCTGGCTTTAACAGAGGAACTGTGAAGGGGAATGTATTGTACTACACTGTAGTTGAGCTTAGAGGCCACACTTGGATTAAGGGCCCACTGCATAAGAAGCTGTACAAATGCCAAAAAAAAAGAGCTTGGTATGGATAAGTAGCTCATGCCCTGCTTTACTTATTTCTCCCCCTGCCCTGAACATGCATCTTTGAAATGCTAAACCCTTTTAGCACATCTGCACGATTTCTTGGGGCTTTGTGACCAAAATAAGAGGTTTGGCAGCACGAAACTCTGAACAAAATAACGGGCCACGGCTCCTAAAGTCTCATTTGAACTACAGAATGGGAAACTCGAGTCGGATGGGAAGGTGCTGAAAGAGCTCTGGATTTTATTTTGCAGCAGGTCCTATGCTGAGCACAGAGGATCAGCTGCGGCGCCTGCAGGCAGAGCGGATGTGCAAAGTCTGCATGGACAAGGATGTGTCCGTCGTCTTCGTCCCTTGTGGACACCTGGTGGCGTGTGCAGAGTGCGCCCCTAACCTGAGACGGTGTCCTATCTGCAGAGCATCCATCCGAGGGAGTGTGAGGACGTTCCTGTCTTGACCCACGATGCGTGCGTCGGGGCCTTCGTGGGATCCTGGGTGAGTTGCAGAAATCATTTGGCTCGCCTACCTTGTGCATAGCTCCGTTGTATCAAGTTACAAAAGTTAAGCTTATACTTGTTTTAAAAGGGAAGCGTGGTAAATAGACACTGTCTTTCTGTTCCTCCAGCAAGGCAGATGGCCTAAACTTTTAGACGTATCCCTGCTACCAACCCCATGGCCATGAAGAGTTACTTCTGGGGTCTGGTTCGGGGCACCTGAATTTAAATAAGCACTTTCCAAAAGGGGCAGGGAAGAGTCATTACTTGAAGCAACTACCTTCTCCACTCTAGATTTGAGGTGTGTGGGTTTTTTTTGGTTTTGTTTTTGTTTTGTTTTGTTTTTTAAGAGTTGTTGTGTTTTTTGTTTTGGTTTTTTTAAGAGTTAAAAAAACAAAACAACTCTTAAAAAAAAACAAAACAAAAAAAAACACCAAACTCTTAAGAGAGAAATTCCCCTTTTGCAAGGAAGCTGTCAATATTGGCAAAAATCGAATTGCTGCTCAGATGCACATTTTTTATGATGCTCCTTCCTCTTAGGGGCAGGTGTATCAATTGGCAAGGATGCTTTTTGTTTCTGTTGGAAGTAGAATTGTTATTTATTAATGATGGCAACACATGTGTGCAAGTAAAAAGGGATGGCTGCAGTCTCATGTCCTATTTCCCTCCCCCATGCCCCTTTCCACTTCAAACATTCGAATGCCTAAATAAAACAACCCCGCTTGGCTTGTCTTGCAGACTCTAGCTGCCTCTTTCCTCCACTGATAGAAGATGCGAGACATCATCTGCTCCAAAATATAATTGTTTGTTTTAAAAAGGACAAAGTCACAACTTGGTATCTCAACTGAGGATCTCCATGATGCTGTGACCAGAACACTTGGCAGTATGCTCTTCCATCCTCTTATTTCCTTTTTTAACAGAAAGAATGGAAGCCAGCAAGCATGGAAAAAGCTGTACAGGACACTTCAGGGGGTTGTTTGGTGACCCAGACTGCAAGTGCTTTCTAGCAAGAAGCTAAGAGAGGCCTTCTCCAACAGGATTTGTTCATAGGATTGGAAAAAGAAAAGCAAACTCTCTGTAGATTTGTACTTTAATGTTGGAAAAATAAAGCTATTTTCTCTTTCAGGCTGATCGGTTTGAGTCTGGTCACTAAAAGGCTCTAAAATAACTTCTGGTTTGTGAGCTAGCCAGTTGCACGATTTGCATAAACTATTATGAGTTGAATGGCAGCTTCTTTCTATTACCACTCAGTTGTAGTTTTGTATTTCTTTTTTCTTGCTTGGGCATGAACTAACCAAGCAGCTTCCCTTAGCATAATCCTACTTTCTACTTTGCAATCTCATCAGCTGGAGTCCAGCACTGAGTCTTGTTTCTCCTGAGCAGATCAGTGGAGGTGCACATTGGCTATATTTGATCCCCAGTCACTTAAACCTGGTTCTGTGCCGGCTTGCCAACTCGCTGGGTCAAGATTTACAACCCTTGGTGGATGATTCTAACTAAGGGGTGTAGCCTTGGTCCTCCCCTCTCTCTTTTCCTGCAAAAGGAAAAGTTAATTTTATGCAGCACACTTCTCTTCCAGTTGCCCGGCATCACAGGGGTGAGAAGAACGACTAAACTGTTTATCTTCTTACCTTAAAGATAAACCATGGGGTTTGACTAAACTTGAATACTCTTGTAGACTAAAGGTGCACTACTGAATTAGCTGGTCTGTTTGATCTGGCTTATAAATGCAAAGTGGCTATATGAAGCACCATTAATAATCCTGGAGGCCGCCTGAGTTTCTCTGTTTCAAGGTGTGTAGTGTAGTGTAGTAGTCTGAAAAGACTTGAGGCTACTCTTGAATTGAAGCTGGCTCTTTATTTCTAAGCATAGCTGTGTGCTACTAAAGAATTGGCAGCAGCAGGACTGTAGGGTCCTGAACATCAGCTGCCCAGGAGGTGGGCTGAGATCTTGAAAGAAATCTTTCTTGTAGAATAAATCCATTAGAAATCACTTCTTCCTAGTGTCAGAAGTTCCTGTTTTGTGTGTTGCTGTTTCCATCCGATGCATGCATCCCTTCATGGCTCTATGCAACCATTAGTGTGAATTTCAGTCTGTATTTGCTATATCATTAATAAAAATAGACTTTGTATACAAACTTGTATGAATTAGAACTATATATTTTTAACCAGTGGATGGCAGTATTAACTTAACTTAACCATGATAGGATCTGTGCAAATAAGCCTGCAATTGCTCTTTCTTCCCTACAGTATGATAGAAATATGAATGTATATGGATTCTTAGGATAGGAAAAATGTCTGTTTGAATGAATTATTAAATGTGGAATAGCTATATCAAAAGAAGCACTAAAATGAGCTGGAGTATTCATACCCCTGTGAATGGGAAAGTAAGTGGAGGTCACTTTAAGATGAGCAATGTTGTCCCAAACTTTTCCTATCGATTGATCTCTTCTAACGAGACCAGTTCCTATGAGGACACAGGCATAAATCGGCAAAATTTAATCCTCTATTGTTTGATTCAGGCCTGTCTTTTTTTTTTTTCCCCTGCAGTAAACAATCCCAACCATAGTCAAGACTGAAGTATGCTTCACTTCAAGGGATGTTATTTGACTCTTCCGAAGCTACTCCAGGCCCCCGCAGCCCAGATCAGTTTAATCAGGTTTCAACTATTAAGAGCGGAGAATGCAAAGCTGGAGCGAAAAGAGTGGGTTAACTCACTTAAACTTGCATATCTTTTGGCTGTGTCGTATTGCATCCTATATTTAGGTCTTGATAAGTTTGTGCGATTGTAAAGCACTTTGAGACCTTGATTTATTTTATTTTTTTTCTTTCCTGATGCTCAGGACAGATGCAACACGCTGGCTGTTTAAAACTAACATTGACACCCCTCCCATTCCTATAGCAGATGATCTGTTTTTAGTTCTTCTCTGATGAACAAGAGGTAACAAAATGGTTTCCACTTCCATTGGTCGCACTCAAGAAAGAAGGCTGTAGGGCTAAAAGAAATTCTAGTGTTATTCTTTCGTCTTTCAATAAGACAGTATTTTCTGCTCAAGTGAGAGGATAAGGCTAATTATACATAAAAGAAAAAGCTTTTCATGCTACAAATTGAATTTCAGTTGGATTTGGCGGGGGGAGTACTTTCAAGGAGCTTTTTACTGCTCAAGCAATTCTGGGAATTAGCATGATTCAGAAAAGCGAACAAAGGAAGAGAAGGTGGAGAAAGCACCGAAAGATTGATAGCTTCAGCCTACACACCCAAATTGCTGCACTGTAACTGCACCACACAAGGGCTTTCATTTTGCTGTGAATGGGAGCGATAAAACAGACCCGTGTGGTGGCTGGAATGCCTTTAAAAGCAAGTGTGATTTCAGACAAAGGTGGCAAAAAGAGACAAATGGCATAACTGCAAGTAAAGTGGTGGTTCTGGTTGAGCTGTTGTTCAGTGTGACACAGATTCCCCTTTTTTTGTAGCACCTGCTCTTGAAGGATGGGGCGAGAGAAGAAATGACATCTCTTACGCAGGGATGTACTTTCTATGGACACGAGACAGGAAGCATGGGGCTGGTCTTTGTGGTTCTAAATTGCAACAGGTACCTGGAAGTGGGTGTTAGGTAGAAACACTTCATACACTTCCAGTAATAATCAGCCTTTGAACAAGACTTGTTCTTTCCTCCTTGGGGGACTTCTAGGTGACTACCCATTGCTTAAAGCTTCCCTATAGCTCCTTGCCGGTGGACCTGTACCCCTACTATTTTGTTTTTAGCTCAGTCGACTAATTCTTCCACCCGGCTTCAAAGCATCACCTTGGCTCCTTCCAACTTTTTTCCCCTCTTTCTTAAAAAATAAATAAATAAATAAAAGTGATTATTTTGGCTGAATTGAGCAAGATCATGACACATACCGTTGCACCTGCAACATAATGGGGAGAGAAGCTGCAGAGAAAGGCAGGTTTGTAGGTATTTTTCCAGAACTTGACATTTGTGGGTTTAAGTAAGGCAGCTAGCAACAAGTACATCACTCCTTTCTCAAGTTATTTTATTTATTGTTTTCAAATGAATTGCTGTGACCCACAATGCCATTTCATTACACTTATATGCTCCCTCTTTCTTTTCTTCCCCTCTTATTCCTTCCTCCACCAATGTCCGGCAGGCCCCCTTGGGTCAGGACATTCCTGGAGTAAACGTGGCTGTTGCGTGGATGAAGCTGGCCCTACACATCTGTAGCACGTGGCCTGAGCCTTCCCCAGTGCCGGCTGCAGTCCGCCAGCTGTGACTGTAGCTGCACCAGGGTCGGCTTCCTGGGGATGTTGTTATCAGCTGCTGCTTGCCCGGGTGGGCTTGCTCATGGTTCAGACTGGGCTAAATTGCACCAAGAGCAACCAGGGGCTTTGCATGCTTGGGCAAAGAGCTCCTAGCAGCCCATCTGCATGGGTGTCTGAAATCAGAGGAAATGCATCATGTGAGCAAGGCCACAGATTGTAAGGGGCGATGGCAGGAGGCAGGCATGAATAGGGAGGCAGGGGAAGCACGCAAACCCTTCTTTAACTGCTAAAACAAATGCCCCAACATTTCTCCAAAGTAGATATCCCCTTCACCATCTCTCAAAGGCAAGGAGGCGATCAGACGGTGTTTAGGGCGTTTTGTCCATTAAAAAAACCAGGTAAACTACAAAACTATGGCAGCCTGAACCAGTGTGGTATGCAGCACTGTCTTCGTTACAGATCCGAGGTGGAAGAAAGTAGCTCACAGTTCAACTCTTGATTATCAGGCTGGAGTGAAGGGTTTCCATTGAGGTGGTTCTTTGCAGCCAGCCCTGTAATCTTGCCCTACCTGTGGGCCACATAGGGCCAGGCCAATGGTACTAATGGTTCATCAGGATGCTCACAGAATAAAAACAAACCAAGTGGTGGTTCTTGCGTGTACATTCGTTGTGCTAAAAAAAATATAACAAAATAAAAAGTGGAATGGATTTCACCATCCTGGTGTTTCCTCTGCTGCAGCTCCAGGCCGGGGTGGGGGTTGCGTCTTGCAGCACCTTTGTTTCTTGGGTGCAAGGTTTATCCAGCCTTGGAATCCTCTTCACTTACGCAGGCCTGTAGAGAGGCAAGAAATCCATCAGTGTAGGAGCCAAGGGTAAAATATATGCTGTTTCAGATGATCTGAAACCATATGGAGTCTGTAGGAGCAAAATAAATGGCATATCCCATGTACGTGTGTGCTCTGCAGCATGCACGCTGCGTGGTTCACCTATAAAACTCATCAGCTCTGAAATCCCACAACCTCCAGACAAAGGGGCAAGTTTTAAAGGTATTTAGGCAGGATTTTCCAAAGTCTGGGGACAGAAATTAACAGATAAACCAGTGTAAGTGACTGGAAACCAGTTCAAATCTGTAACGCAACAGAAGTTCAATGCACATAAACCCCTTTCAAAATGGCTCAGACTACGTTTCAAAATGCAGTATCAGACTTAACTGATTTAAGTGAAATCGGTTTATTCACCTTCTGTCCCAGATCCCCTCCAGATTCAGGTGAATAGTCCCCCAGCATCCCAGGATGCTTTGCATGTCCTCCACAACGCCCTTCTCCCCCTCTGCGGGGTAGCCTTGGCCCAAGTTGTCTGCTCCAGCTGAGCAGAGAGGCGTGCTCCAGTGCCTTCCAGCTTCTGGCCTGGACCACTGCCGGCGTGCGGCTGCGTTTCCAGAATCAAAAGTGATTCTTATTGGTTCAATCTACACAGCTTAGACTAACCTGAGAAGATTAAATCAATTTAGCCTTGGCCTTTTTGACTGTCTGTACTTAGCCCTATTGTTTAAATCAATAGCTAGGTGCCTAGACATATAGCACATTCACTAGGAGCCTCTCTGCATCTTTGGGGACCAGGATACCTTTAAAAATTTGGCCCTTAGAAATAGGCAGGTTTTGCTAGCAAGGGTATAAGAGTAGTGGGAGCTCCCCAGGCTATTTTTTCCAGACTTATTCTCTTACAAGCCATCTTTTAAAAAGGAGAACACTACCCTATGCTCAGCCGCTCAGTGTAGCAACCTGCATTTATGGAATGCTAAGGCTGCAGATTTTCTAAACTTTTCTACAATTCTAACATTTTCCCAACTATTTCAGTTGGTCTAATAAAAAACAACAGGATTTACCCCAAAACCTTGTCTGCTTATGTTACTAATGTCACAAGACAACATCAACAGATGCTTCCCAACAGACCCAGTTCCTTGTGCACTGCTCAGCTGCTTAAATGTGAGGAAGGGAACGACCCTCGAGACCAAGCAGTAGCAAAAATCAGATGGAAAAATGAAAAGCCACTTTAACTGTTCTTAGACTGTCAGAAAATGGGATGAATGCTTCCAACGGAAACCCCCAACTAGCAGAATTTACTCAGTTCCCGTACAAATGCAAGATGTCGGCAAGGCTCCCGAATACCTGCAAACTTTCTGAGTTCCCAGTTCCACCCCTTGTATGAACCGTCCTACGGCTTAGCATGAAAATCATGCCTGGGGCAATTTTAGTCTAAAAAAGGATTGGTACTAAACAACTATTCCCTTCTGAGATAGATAGTGGCATTATCTGCTTAAATAACCTCTCTAAAGCAAACGTAGTGCTGAGTCTGATACCGTGTCATTGTACATCAAAATCTCCTGGCGACTGGGAAGGCAGCGTAGGTACTTGAGTTCTTGATGACCTTAAGAGCAGCAGCTTTGTTCAGAGATCTCAAGCCGTTCACAAGGTTAAATTTCATTGCAAGAACTGCTTTGGTTCAATAAGCTACTGAGTGGGTGTGCACAGTGGGAAGCTTTGCTTTAAAATATTAAATAACCCCAAACTAGTAGCCAAAGTAGAGCAGACTCTCTGTAGGGGAAGACAATATTGCAAAGAGACATGGCATGAATTTCAGCATTGCCTAATGAGGGACAGACCTGGTGAGCTCCTCAGCTTCCTACCCTCACTGATGAAAACTCATTAGGCAGGGAACACACTTTCTTTTTGGGCTGGATGAGACATTTATCTTTAGTTTTCAATAAATCCTTTGTCATCCCACGCTCTAATATTTCAACCCAGGTGCTCATACACTATCCCCTAAAACACCTTCTAGTCACATTCATTAGAAGATTAATTTTAAAGTGAATGATTGGTGTCACCTTTTGCTCAGCGAGCAGCAGTTTGATTGATTCAGAGCAGGTGACTTTCACAGACAACTCAAGCAAACTTCCATACACTATCGGTCCAGTTTCTATGTGAGGCCATGAACACAAATAGCTTCTCTCTGGGATTCAGGCAGGTGTTACCAGGTGAGGTCCTCCGGCCTGTACTATGCAGATCAGAATAGAGGATCACAATGGTCCGGGGAGCCTTTAACATCTATAAAGCTTCAGAAAGGTTTCAGAGAGGTGGAGAAGAGAGTCAAGGTGAAGATGGAAGATGGGGTGAGAGAGAAGGAGCATGGCCAGGAGGGGAAGACATGCATCAGATGGGTAGCGAAGGCCTGGGTGAGGGTGAACCATCTCATTCAGTAGAGACCAGCGTGATCCCATTAGAAAACAGGACTGTGGTAAAACAGTGAACATATCACAGGAGTGGCGGACTGGGGACAGGATGGGTTGTGGCATCCTCAGGACAGCACTAATCCAGTGTGGGAATCTGACTTGACTTACTAGTGTTATAAAGGAATTTGGTTTTCCTGGTGGAGCATTGAGAAAGGATGAACAAGCTCAAAGCTCTTGGGCAGAGATTAATTTGGAGGGGAGACGGAAGTGTTTTTTGGGGGGGGGTTGTGCAACCTGGAGCCAGGTATGAAACACATGAACTGTGGCTGAGATGCCATGACCTTATTATAAAATGGTTACAAAGACTTGGTATTCTGGCTCTCCCAGAAAACGAACCCAGCAATAAGAACTGGGCTCACGGTGCCGATAGGCTACAAGATGCTCTGGAAATCGTTCCTTCCTTCTGCCCTGGCTCCCGCTCTGGCTGGGCCTATGCAGAGGAGAGGTAAGACCAGACCAGCCATAAATAAAAGATATTGCCATCCAGAGGTTACAGTGAAGTCTATGGGTTCCATCTTATCCACTTCTCAGAAGTGAACTGTCTCCACCCCAACTTCACCTGTGCAATTAAAGCACGACTGTGTGCAGCAGAGGTGCTAAACCAGGCTGCCGTGGCACCCTGGGGTATTGTGAGATCCTTTTAAGGGTGCTGCTGGGTGCCACACAATATTAGCACCATTAGGTGTGCAAATACCTACATACAATTCATAAGATAAAAAAAAAGAGATATCAAATAGGAATCCATAGTGGCAAAAACATTTTGACCTGTCCTGACCTTTCTGAGTTGTCTGCAATGGAAGAACGGCTGTATTTGCTGACTATGGAAAATAAAACGAGGGAGGGCTGAACCGGCATTTTCCAAGGGGTGCTCCGAGTCTAGCAATCTGAGAACCATTGGTATGCAGCCTCACCAAACCCACCCCACCAACAATCAGGATTGGATTACTCTTACTAAATTACTCTTGGTGTCTCCGAGGGATCAATGGCATCTGTCTGCTTTGGCGGAGTCTTGCAAGGCAGCTTGCACTGCCATTGCCCTGTGCTGTACCAGTGGGAGGGAAAGAAGCCTCTGCTACCAGCAATGGCTGCTTCTGCAAACTCATTTCAGGAGAAAAACAGCCAAAAGTCTTTTTACATAAGTGCAATTTTTCTGAGCTGCACCACTGAGACAGCTTAGTAAATCAAGCAGCTGCCTAGGAGCCCCACAGCTTCTACCAGCTCCAGAAAATCCCATCCCAGAGTGACAAAATAAGAGGGAAATCAATATTTAATCTTCGGTTGCATCCGTCCTAATAAAGCTGCTGCACCCCTTAGTTATGAACAATTTAACTCCTTTGCAAAAAGTCACTTGTTCTCCTGGGCTTGTGCTGTGATAGCACAGAGAGTGTGGGGGTGCAGATGTATATTGGGGTAGCTATTCAACTCTATTTTAGGGTGAGTTCCCTGGTTTTTGTTTCACCTCCCTCCCCTTCAGCCTATTTGCTTTAAGGGGGAAAAAAAAATCGCTCCAAGCATTAGACCTAAAATCATACCTCCCTTAACAGCACCCCAGCATGCAATTTTCTCTCAGATTCCACGTGGGGAGTAACAGAAATTCAATGCCTATTGCTGCTTAACATAGGTAATACCAGCCTTTAGGTCCGAGCATCTCATTAAGAAGCAGTTCTTAAGCGGGCCGCACAAAAGCCTTTGTGCACTGAATAGCCAAATGGGGATTATCAGAGGACAGGAGTTGGAATTCAAGGATGGATTTCTATTAAATGAGTGCAGGGAAAAAAACAGCTTGGGATCCTGCAAGATGGTCTGTCTGAATGACAGGAAATACAATTCCAGCAAAATATATTCAGAAGGCCAAATGCAGCAGCCTGTATTACCCATCGAACAGGGTGGAAATGCCAACTTTGCACTGTGCGGGTGCAAACCAGGAAAGATACAGGAAGACCCGGCAGCCTCAGCAGTTCATGGAGCAAGGGTTTGGGCTGGTTTTGTGCCATCAGGGAGGGCTGGGGAGCAGAGGAGTGGCCAGCGGATGGGACTGCTTGGTTGAGAGGGGCTAAAACTCAGTTGTGTTGTAACTCAGGCAAAAAGCTGAGATGCAGCTTTGATAGCAAAGCAAGGGGCTCCTGCCTCTGTGTTGAGGGACAGGCAGATTCTCCCCTCCTTCCCACAATATGCATATAGCTGCCCTGCCTTGGGTCTTCACTGAAGGGCCAAAGCTTTAATCAGACACGGTAGCATTTAATCTGAATTGTGAACCAGGATGGCAGCACAGGCTGGCCCCCATCAGCAACCTCAGCATCTTCATCCCTCCTGGCGATGTGGGGCTGGACCCGATGATCTTCCGAGGTCCCTTCCAGCCTCACAACCTATGAATTGCCCCCATCCATACATACCCTGACAGGTGTGCGCACCGAAAACCAACCTGTTAGAGAGAAACAGTAGCACCCTTGAGCCATGAAGCCAAGCAGCACGTGCTGTCTCGTGAACCAATACTTACAGGTAGGTCTGCTTGAACAAAAGGTTGGTGGGTTTTTCATTGACATGGTAGAGAGGAAATGGATCAAATCCACCAATGAAATCAACTGAAAGAAAAATCAAAACCCAAATAATAAATGAATTAAAAAAAAAACCCAAAAGAAAAAACCCCCAAATACATGGCAGGGATGAGGAAAGGAAAACGGGTAGGTGGCACAATGTAACAGAGAATGGTGTGGAGATAGAAAGGTGACTGCTAGCAACCCTCTGCTTTGCCTTTATTCATGACTCAAGACAAATGAGAGGTCTTTGCCTATCTACCGAGACCTCCTGGGAATGGAAACTCTTTGCTGTGTGAATTTTCAAGACTGGAGTTAAAAAACACAAAGGTCAAGAGAAACAAGAGGCCAACCCCACTCCATTTTCATGTCACCAGGGGTCCGTGTCACATTGCAGCTGGTGTGAGTGGGTGAAGAATACCTCTGCCTCTCCAAAATGTGCAGGGCTAGCAGGAAACAGTGGGTTGCACAGGTTATGCCGGTAAGTGGAGGGTCTTTTAGGGGAGACAGTGATACCTGCTCTTGGTATATTAGAAACCTGCTCTTTCCCCTGACCCTGATCGTTTTTCAGATCTATTTAATTTGAGTTGAATAAACCTGTAAAAATATTAAGATTATTTTCTCCAATGCCCAGACTAGGACAAGGGAGTTTTTGCGCTGCTGATTGTCAGGCTGTTCTGCTCACACTTTATAAATAGTGTGGCCCAACCAGAAACAGCTGTGCTGTTGTAGTTGTTTTGCATCTGGTGAACACGCTTCTGAACAAGGCCATCATCCAGCACAAAACGTTCTGACAATCAGATTTCTCCTAAAATGAGGCCAATCTACACTACAAACACGGTCAAAATAGGTAGCTCAGCCCAGGGTGTGCCATGATGTGAGCTGCGAGCAACCTAGCAAAGCTGACAGAAAGCTCCTGGCATTAAGCAGCTTATTGCGCGTGGGGGGGACTAGGGAGTCCTGGCCAAACTGTGGAGTTGCTCATATAAACAGCATTCACCTTGCAAGTGCTTTGCTGATATGGCATGATGGTCAACCATACCTAGAGCAGATCTGGTCTGATTTGTACTGTTTTGTATGTGGCTTCAATAGTAAAGTTAAAGACAAAGGCTGTGATTTCCTAGGGCTCCAACAGGAGCTTCTCAATGAGATGTGAGCATTTAATGTGTTTAGACTCCTTTGAAAACTTCAGCTTGGAGTATATATTGTAATTCAGATTCAGGAAGATTCTCATTAAGACTGCCATACTGGCTGAGATGTGTGGTCCACCCAGTCCAGTATCCTACCCCCTATACTGTGTTTCCTACGCCTAGGAAATATTCTGTAATTTCCTCCAGTGTCTGGCCAGAACTAGACACTGGAGGAAATTACAGAATATTTTGCCCACGGGGGAAGATTTCTGAACCCCAGTCTGTATTATGTATGCTTATGTCCCTTCCATATGCTGTATTTAACAGCTGAGTCCCCACTGCCTATACAGATGTCCACTCTTTTTCTTTCCAGAAGGTGGGGCTGTTATTTAGTTCTATATTTTACAAATCATATATTAATAAAACAGAAATATTACATACATATGTGTGTATATATATGTATTATTACACATTTTCTCTCTCTCTCTATATATATATAGCTAGCTAGATAGATACATACGTAGATGTGTGTATATATATATGTATTATTACACATTTTCTATCTCTCTCTCTATATATAGCTAGCTAGCTAGCTAGATACATACATACATACGTGTGTATACATATATATATATATATATATTATTACACATTTTCTATCTCTATATAGATAGATAGATAGATAGATAGATCTATCTACCTATATCTATATATACATATATATAAGCTTCAGACTCCAAGACCTCAGCACACCCCCGCCCCTGCCCAGCACTAGGTTGATAAACAGTGGGCGCATTTACATATTGCCCTACGGCGACATAGCGATGCTCTACATCGCTGTACGGCGCGCTACGGTGATGTAGCAATCATGTAAGTCTACACGTGATCGCTAGCTATGTCGCCATAGCGGCATGCTTTTCGCTTCTTCGTGTGCACTACCCGTACAGCACAGTACAGGCGGTTACTGAGCCGTGTTTGAGTACTTTCAAAAGGACTTTGCGCTTTTTGGGAGTACTCAAACACGGCGCAGTAGCAACATCACCGTACAGCGATGTGTAGACGCGCCCAATGTGCTACTAATGAAGCAATTGTAGAATAACTGTAGATCAGGGATAGCATTCACAAAAGTATCTAGGTGATTTAGGAGCTTGAACTCCATTGAGTTTCAATGAGACTTGGCCGTCTACTTGGTCAAATCACTTTTGAAAGTAGGACCTAGGTGTTTTTTTTTTGCCTAATAACTCCAAAAAGAAAAAAAAATGGCTAAAATTTTCAAAATTGATTAGTGACTTTGTTGTTGGCCTTAGTTTTTTGGCTGACTCAATGGCCAGAAAAGGGCATGATTTTCCAAAAATGATTAGCTCTGGCCCCTGAACAATCAGGGCTATCTCAGTTTGAGCATCCAGTAGCTTAGTCACATAGGAAAAGCTTAGCTATAGCTCATCCATATATTATGATGCATTAGCACATCTAAAATATTCTTGCCCACAGTTCAGCATTAGGAGATCCTGTTATGTTTTTTCTCATTAAAATCACGTTAGCAGAAGCTTCCTGATTAACGTGCTCCAGCACTTGTAATTACTTCATGCCACATATCAAAGGAACATTTAAAAGAAACCACAAATGGAAGAGAAAATTAAAACTCGGTTCAAATTTGTTCAGGTCACTGGAAGGATCTACCACCGTGAATGTGAAATATTGATGGTTTGTCACTGTTAATTATTGAAGCTGGCATTTCAGCTCTGAGTCTGGGAAGCTGGGAGGGGTAAGATGCTGGCGGTAGTAAAAGAAACTCTGAGATAGAGCTGTGTATTTTTAGATAATTCATTCCACTTGTAAGGGCTTCTCCTGAAAAAAAAAAAGCATTGGGTATGAACAGACTCTGGTGACTTATTTTTCGTTTACAATATCTAAAGGAACAGACCTTTAAAGCCTTTTAGGTAACTCATAATGATGATGCTGGTGAGAGAGGGATAAAGGTGATGGAGCAAAACATTTTTTGATTACTTCTACTATAGGGCTTTGCAGCTTGTGCAGTAGCTAAGCTCTGAGAAAAGTGATCAATAAAGCCAACTTTGGTCAATACAGAGACACAAGAAGCAACAGAGGAATAGGCAGATTAAGTCAGACTAATAATGTCTTTTCTAACCTATTTGAAATCAAACTTTCCTCGCTTCAAATGTTCAAGTGAAGCCCAGTATTTTTCAGCAAACATCTTTGCCATCCATTTTTTTTCCAAGGACAAACCTACTCCCACTGATGTGATGGATGAGGTGCCTTAAGGAAGTGGTATGTGGCCAGATCCTTAACTGCTGTCATCTGGCTCAAATTCACGGACTTGAATAAACCTATGCTCACTAAAGCCCGCCGAGAACGTAACTCGGATGCAACCCACTGCAACACACTTCAACGAGGATATGCTACAAGGCCATTCATAATTAGCAGACACCGTCTTGGTGCACTTGATAGCAAGCACAAATAAATGCAAGTTGAGCTTATATCTCTCCAGTTAAATCCAGGACCCTTATCATCCAACTAGCTTTTCCCTGGCTCTCTTTTTCTTTAGCTCCATAACCAACCCAAGGCACCTAAGAAAACTCCACATCAAGCACATAGAGTTTGTAATCGCACCACCTCGGTCTTACACGTTGATGGTCAGTTCAGTTATCTGCAAACAGTCTTGCTCTCAGTACCGCCGTCCGCTCACACCTAGCAAAAGGAATTCAGCCCATGGCCTTGCTGCTCATTTGAACACATGAGACCCGATTCTCCACTTACTTCCTCCAATTTATACTGGTGAAACTTCACTGGTTTCTCCTGTTCAACACACGTGTGAAGCCATAAGCAACCACTTTGTTTCTCTTTCTAAGACAGGCATACCCAGGAGACAAAATCAAGTTGTTGGGCTGAAAGCACCTGACCACTATGGGATATTTAGAAAGAGGAAAGGATCTTGAGGTCTTCGCTGGGCAGTTGTGGCAGTGATGCCAGTTGCGAGGCGAGAAGGAACAAAGGTTGATAAGAAACTGCTCCGTCCCTTTTTCCGGACTTCCTCTCTCTCTCATTTTCTAGCTGAAGGCTGACGCTGAAAGCCCAAACCTCATGCAGCCAAATCCGAGAGAAAGGGAATATTTTATAAAACCACTGCCAAAGAATTTGATGACAAATACTTACAGCTGTCCTCTTCTTCTGTGAAAACACTGACAACATAACAGGCATAGACAAAGCCCACCAGCTGGAAAACAGAGAGAAGAAATCATTCAGCATCGTTGTTGTAAGCAGGACAAAACCTGCTTCATACGAGTTAACAGCTGCACATTGACTTCAAACTCAGTGGAAACGGTGGAATTGGGAAACAAGGTAAGATTCGCTACACAATAATCAGCACGGTCGGGGACCTTCTCTAAATGCTTGTCCCAACCCACAAATGCCTCCCCCCTGCAATAATCCGAGTAGCAGGGTCCTTATGTTCACACCCCTCCTAAAGCTGTTGTTTCAAGGTATTTGTCTGCAGGCAGGCAGCACTTATTGAGGTCACAAGTGGAAGGTTTTCTTTCCCATAAGTCCTGGAAACATTTCTTTCAGAGGGACAGGACTGGAATGCCAGAGGCACGCTGGTGCAGCATCCTACTCGGTACCACTGCCATGCAACCCCGTCTGCAAAGGCAGTCAAACGGATGGGAGCAGACTTTAGCAACGCTGAAATCTTGATACGTGAGGCTTAGAAATGGAGAAGTGATTGGAAAGAAATGCTACAGAGTATGCAGGACTAGGTGCAGGCTCCGATTCCAGGTCTATGCAAGGAAATAAGAGCCCTGCCTTAAAGCCCTGCATGGATAACCCAGACTTTGGGTCTGGGAGTAACATGGGCTGTTTGCATATTGCTTCCCTGTAGAGGTTGGGTGGGCAATAGGAAAAGCTAGGCCTCCATCCCCTCTGCTCATCGGCCTGCATAGTTAAGCCTGCATGGTAGCAGTAGCAGGGCATATCTTACGGGGAAACATAAGTCAGCGGTCAATTTGCTATCTCCTGGGAACAAGCAGGAACACGAGGCCTCACTGGGGCGTCCCTATACAGGGTCTTCATCGAGTCCTTGTGCATTTTTAAACTTTAATAACTTAGGTTGTGCACAAGGACTCGATGAAGGCCCTGACACTTGCTGCAGTTTACATATGACTAGGGACCTACGTAAAGCACGGCGAGACAAAGGGTTTTTCATGGCTTGCTCATGCCGCACTGAGCCAATTTCGCGGGCATTTCGTGGCCGTCCCTCCCCTCGGTGCTGATTGGTGGCGGAGGAGGGATGAGGGGGCAGCTGCTCCCTTGATCGCTGCCTTTTGTGCCACCCGCCAGCCAGCGCCTTCCCCTCCCAGCAGCGAGGACCACTGGCTCCCTCTTAACTTCTTATTACGTTTCATTTGGTCGGTTTTGCAGACAACCCCGGATTTTGCAGTCTCCGTGAAATCTGCAAAACCGCGAATTAAGTAGATCCCTACAC